CCCACCTTTGTGTGGTGAAAATACCAACTACACGAGGAGCATGGGAGAAGGCTAAATGAATAAAGGTAAGAAGGAAGAGTTGAACAGTTCCAAGCCTTTGGATGTTATATTTTTAAGCCATTCAAAGCTAACCTGCGGATTAGTAGGTGAGTTTTGGTTATAGATGGAGCTACTCTGGGTCTCATTTTCTTTGTACTTAGTGACGGCCATTTGATACAGGGACCAGCTCATCATGGGCGTGATCATCCAGTCTTCAGGATACAGCTGTTTCAACATGGATTCCAGCTGTATGCGATACCCCTTTTTTACACCCATCCTGTTCTCCTCGGCGTCATTAAAGAAGTTCAAGTACTTTGGGTGGTCGAAGTTAAACTTATACGCAGCCTCCAACTCCGTTGTCTTCACGCTTCGTTTTAGAACTTTCTGCACACGTCTTCTGTTGGGGAACCAGCGCTCAGTGATGTTTTCAATACCAATTTCGATGGTCTCGTATGAATTCTTTCGTCCGCCGATGTCTAAGTCAACTTTGTAGTTGATCAGATGATCGTGTGTACCGCTTGTGAAATGCTCGTGCAGTGGATAAGCGTATGGATGCATATTAGCGTCGTAAAAGGAACCATAGATATAGCCAGAGGCTGACATTTTAACTTCTATGACGCCGTTCTGGTAAAATATGAAGTCGAACAAATAATCATAGTTATATACCGTGGCAATCGTGCGCAGAATTAATACCTGATTGGCCATTCCACCGTAGAACCTGTACCCATTCACAAAGTTGTTATCGTAATGTCGACGCAGTGGAATTCCATCATTCAGTTCAAACACACAGACAGCGTTGCGAAAGGTTTTCGGACTTTCCATTCCGATCATGTGCACCAGATCAAAGCAGGAAGCTGTTTCTGGGACATCCACTCCAAGGACCATCTCATAGCTGCTCTGTCCCATTTTCCACGCCCCGTCAATGAAGTTATTCCAAGACGGGAGTGGGTAATAACCTGCGTATGTGGCGGCCGCCTCCTGAAGGCTGAGCTCGTATACGATTCTGTCTCCGTTGAACTGGATATCGTAAAGCTGTATTCCACTATTGGAGTCCATTCTGAAGTCAAAAGACCACGACATATAGCTAATATGGTGGCCTTTCACAGTATATCGCTGGCCATCAGGTTGGTATTGTTCAGGGCCTCTCATGGGCTTAGACGGCTGTGGAGTACCTCGTCGCTCGTAGCTCGAAAACAATGTATCATCATCGCCTTTTGGCGCCGGTATCTTGATTTTTTCTATGGTATTGTTCGCGTATTTGGCCGCTAACTCATCAACGGAGTCAAAAGTTTGATTATTGTAGATTACTTTGAGTATTTTCCACTTGAAAGCATTTGCTCCACCGTGATCTAATAGGATATGTAAGTCTATCGGATAAAAGTAGTGACCAATGAAGTCTCCGCGAATGAAATAAATCCAAGAGTAACGATCTTCCGCCGTGAATCCCAGTGGAGCTGTCTCAAGAAAGTACAGGCATTTCTTGTTGTTTGTGCATTGGAGTGTATACCCATCATAGCTTTCGTTCATCAGCTTTTGTAGCTTAGGAGCAACACCAATTGCCATCGCGTAATACATTATCTTGTACTCTACACCGCTATCAAAAGGCCTGGCATTGAAGTGGACCGTTTCTTTCTGGCCACCAGGCACTTTGCGTACAACATGCTGAGTGGGATTAGCCACCGCACTCACTACGTATTCCCTCACCACCGGGGGGTCGGTAGCACCATGAAACACTACAGCGACAGCTCTTCGCTCAGGTTTGGGACCATCGTTGTCGAGGAATTCGAGGACCTCATCTTTGGACGGTGGTAAAAACTGTATTGAATATATGTAGTTGCTGTCCACAGTTGCATCTACATATTCCGTAAGGTTCAGTTCTCGTTGTTCCAGCAGATAGTCTCGAACGGCGGTGATCTCTTCGATCGTCAGGTCATCAAAAACACCAGCAGACTTGGGTGAGTCATCGGAACTGGACATGCCTTCTCCACAGGACTCCATACTTACGGCAACACGGGAGCCATTTTCTTGGTTTTCATCGCTTTTTCCCTTCTTAGTTGCCACCACTATCAAAGCAATCAAGAGTGCTATGCTTATCACAATGAACACGATGGCAAGAACCTTCCACAACATCAGCGAAGTGCTAGCCCCTGGAGTGGATTTCCGTTTTATCATCGAATCAGTATTTTCCATGATGACTGAATCCTGCACAAGGCAAATGACACTCAATGTGAAAAATAATGGTACACGAAAGAAATTTGGACCGATGAATTATATATGTTAATGAATTATCAGGTCTAAAACGTTCGGAGGAGGTAGCTAATGGAGGTTGTTGGGGAAAAAGAAGAAGAAGAAGAAGAAGCGCAAAAAGTAGAGGAAGAGGAGGACGAGGAGGAGAAGGAGGACGAGGAGAAGAAGGAGGAGCAGGAGGAGGTGGTGATGGTGGTGGTGGCGCAAGAGGGAGAAGGAAGAGAAAGAAGAGAAAGAGGACGAGGACGAGGACGAGGACGAGGGGGAGGTGGAACAAGAGGGAGAAGAGAAAGTAAAGGAAGAATAGAAAAAGGAAGAGGAGGGAGAGGACGAGGTGAAGGAAGAAGAGGAAGAGAAGAAAGTGGAGGAAGAAAGATGCTAAGGGGAGGATCCTGCGGAGGGATATATCCCTTCTTCCAGCCCAAATTGTTCCCAAAGCCCATTTCGCAGCCCTGTTTTACCCAACTGCCCAGTCCCATTCTTATGTCTTTTTTTCCCAGTGCCATTGACCTAAATCTGATTTTCCCAGTGAAAAACTAGGCAAATTACCCCTACAGACAACATAGCTTAGATATTTTTTTTGTCACGAAGAATAAGTACATTTAGCTTTGGTATACTCAAGATTTGGAACAGAACCGAAAAATTTGAGAAATGCGCTAGGGACGTTATTTTGTGTCACCAGCCAGGAGTGTCACGTCGGTGAACTAGACCGTCTGAAAGAGCAAAACCATTGCCAATTTCTATCACGGTAAAACATATTCTTAGCGTAGTTACTTCNAAGAAGAAGAAGAAGAAGAAGCGCAAAAAGTAGAGGAAGAGGAGGACGAGGAGGAGAAGGAGGAGGAGGAGGAGAAGAAGGAGGAGGAGGAGGTGGTGATGGTGGTGCTGGTGCAAGAGGGAAGAGGAAAAGGAAGAGGAGGGAGAGGAAGAGGTGAAGGAAGAAGAGGAAGAAGAGAAAGTGGTGGAAGAAAGATGCTAAGGGGAGGGTCCTGCGGAGGGATATATCCCTTTTTCCAGCCCAAATTGTTCCCAAAGCCCATTTCGCAGCCCTGTTTTGCCCAACTGCCCAGTCCCATTCTTATGTCTTTTATTCCCAGTGCCATTGACCTAAATCTGATTTTCCCAGTGAAAAACTAGGCAAATTAACCCGCAGAAAACATAGCTTAGATATTTTTTTTTTTGTCACGAAGAATAAGTACATTTAGCTTTGATATACTCAAGATTTGGAACAAAACTGAAAAATTTGAGAAATGCGATTGGGACATTATTTTGTGTCACCAGCCAGTAGTGTCACGTCGGTGAACTAGACCGTCTGAAAGAGCAAAATTATTGCCAATTTCTATCACGGTAAAACATATTCTCAGCGTAGTTAGTTCACTTGCAGGAGTGGATTTATAAAGATCGCCGCACGCATCTCTATGCACCTACATTTCACACATTCGGTGGTCTTTCCCGCGCAGCTATGGCGAAACAATGCGTGAGATAAGTGGCCGCTAGTACTTTCGTGACGTCATGCATCCCTAATCAANCTATGCACCTACATTTCACACATTCGGTGGTCTTTCCCGCGCAGCTATGGCGAAACAATGCGTGAGATAAGTGGCCGCTAGTACTTTCGTGACGTCATGCATCCCTAATCAACAAACGAAATCTGCCCTTTTGCAGGCCACAACAAGATAACTGCAAGCAAACAATATTGAAAGCTAGAGCTCAGTTCAGACGTCGTACACGTGCCGTTCCGAACTCAGGAATAAGGGACCGGTCTTTATTTATCGCCGGGGTAGGAGGGGAGAGGCGAGGGGTGGTAGTCGGAGTATTTTTGGCTAAAGACAGTAACATTAAGCTGATTCCGCCTTTAAATGCTATTTTATTGAAATGATCCTCCATCATAAATCTTGATAAATTTCGTGATCCCCCCCTGTCTTCACACACATATTCATCTTTCGACGTGTATATTTAGCGCTTTTAACGGTCATATGAAAGTATTACTAACAATGATGTTCTTACAGTATAATGAAACCGCCATGGTGCAGTCTCTTCATCCGTGTCTTTTGTTAGTCTGGATCCCGATATCTGATCAAGGTCATCAGAAATTTTCACAGGTGTCCAACAAAGCATAACAAGCGGCGTAAATTAAAGCGAGGCCAACCTAGGAGGGTCCGGGAGCATGCTCCCCCGGAAAATTTTGAAATTGTAGGTTGCCAAAGAAAGTGTTACGGAAAATGAGTTGTTTATGATCATAAAATTAGACATAGCAAGTAGTGCTGTTTTACCTTTTCAAAGGAGGTCACTCCAAAAAGCTTCCGTTTTTGTTTTCGCCTATAGCAAGTAAACATTCAGTTTTTCCACTCACAGAAGTTTCAGGCCTTGATGTGCCCGCTATCCTGAAGAAATTTGTCTCGAAAGAAGCGACTTCGGAGGCCGCCATTTTAAAACTTAGCATTTTAAATCTTGGCAGCCAGGCCGTGTTAATGCGACATCATTCCGTCGGACTCGACATTGGCGGAAAGGAGAAAAACCTGAAATTGACTTGGCATCCTTCAAAATGTCAGCAAAATCTATTTTTTTCAAGCAGTTGTCCACTTCACTATCATTAATGTTATCATTTCGGAGTTTGGAGCATGTTTGGCTAATAATATAATGTATGGCTGATAATATAGCTCAAGAGCAGCCATAACCCAGAGGTAGTAAAAAGGCTTGTCGGGAGCCCCCCAGGCGATAAATAATGACCTGTCTGTAAAGTTGGCAAAAAGCACAGCAGTAGCACGGCGTCCGAACAAACGTTTGAATTAAGTTCGGCGAAGCAGTTGAGATTTCGACAAGTGTGTTTGTGCTACACGCCTGACTAGCACGGCAGCGATTCAAATGTCACGCTTCTGCCGCGCCAAACCAATTCATAAGTAATAACGATTTGTTTTGGCGGGATTGTGTTCCCGCAGGGAGTTACTTGGCTAGTTGTTAGGTGACTTCAGTAAATCCTTAATATAGTACAATCCTGCACGACGTCTGTAACAGAGTCGTGTTTCTGCCTTGCTGCATTCGAAACTTAACGCAATTTAAAACTTCAGCCCTTTTATTGGGAGGAATCTTGCCTCGCATGCCTGATTAGCTTGCATATCAGCAAACTTGGCCTAACGGACCCTAGCTAGCTTGAAATCCTGACTCGATATCCTAGCTCAAATCATGACTCAAAAATTCTCAAATGAGATTCAACTCGAAAATCGACTCGAAATCCTGACCGAAGAATAGGTATCACTGCTCAGAAGGTCAAATGTTTGGGCCCAAATTCACCCAAACATTGAGTGGCGTGCATACCAAAGTACATTCTGCGGAATTAAGGAGGCCTGACTGTTGGGAAATACACCCGAAATATCCTTCCCAAATTCGACTCGAATTAACGGGGCATGAATACTCCACATAAAGGTGCTTAACAACCTCTACTCCATATATTACTGTATGTAAATCTCATTTTGATTGCATGATTACATATTCGAGCACGGATAAAGTATTTTCGCATTGGCGCAGTGAATCTTAATTAACAAAAACCGGTTACGTACTTAGCATAACGTTGCATCGAACATTTCATACCTTAGTTTTTCAAAAAAGTTCAACCTTCAGGTAGGTCTTCGTTCTCCAATCGACACCAGTAGCAATACGTACAGGATGTGCTCAATAATTATTCACAACTTACATTTCATTACAGCATAAACACTTGACGTCGGTCACGCTCTATCATTCAAACCAGTAGAAAGCGGCGAAAATATTTAATATATTTCTTCTAAAGGAGGCTGGTCACATCACTCACATTTATGTAAATCGAACGTAAAACAAGAAGGCCATTTCCGAACTACCTTAAGCCTCATTCTCAAAGGGAGTCTTGTTGCCCGTCCCTTCATGATCATTAATATGAAAATGAGCTTTCACTAACACGCAAATTAAACTCAGTTTGGATGGTTGTTGCACCAGGCCTCGCTTTGATACAGCGCTTTCCTAAAAGTGAGAAGAACAGTGTTGAACTATTTCAAGAGGATGTCACGATTCGGTGGTGTCCTACAAAGAAATCAGTCGATGGGAAATCGGGCGAGGCGGACCGCCTGAGGGGTTTCCTTCTGATACAAAAGAACACATGGAGCATTTTCACAAATTTGACAAGAATATTCGTTTTCCATATGATTTGTTAGGAAACACGTCTCCCCTCCTCCTAGATACCAACATTGCAACTGATGACATTGGCGTCCACAGAAAAGATACTTTAACCGGCCAATAAACTAATTTGACAGTTTTCTCGCTAGTGCTAGAGCTGGGGGGCTCGCTCGTTCGTATACACAGGATGTGTTATGGATCTCCTGGTTTGAATTTTTCGTGTATCACGTTCGTCTACATGTACACTTATTAGGCCCTCTCTTGTTAACCAAAAAAACATGTTCACTACTCGATAAATCCATGCTAACTGTGTTCGGATTTTGGCGCGAAAGTTCACTTGACTGATTGTCGGAAAAACATTTATCAAGTAACGCAACTTGCCTAGGGAAATAGTTGTCATGCAAATTTATAACGTGACTCAGAGAAACGTGATCTGAACACAGGGACTGGATGGGGCACTGAGTTAATAAGATTGATTTTCAAGATATAAGCGTAACATTAGAATAAAGCTATGTGTACTTAAGAGCGAACTAAAGAACGTCTAGGACAGATTGCAGATTGGAGATTGTTGAATTGTGGAAAGAATTGTAAGCGTCAAGAGAACTGTTGGGAATAAAAGAAATACAGTCCAAACGTTACAGGCTTTACTGCGTGGAAATTCCCGAACACTGGTCTGCCAAAGCCAAGAGAAGTCAATTGCTATCATTTTAAGCTCAGGGAAGTCTAGATATTCTATCTGATATTTTAAATTCAAGTTTTCTTTCCAGACAAGTCACGTGGAAAATATCTTGTGGTGAGATTATGAATTACGATAAGTTCACATTTTAAGGTGTATCGGTTCAAAAAACAGCAATGCCTATTCTTGTTAATCTCTGGTGAGTAATTTAACAAGTCGTTATTGAAAAATAAAACTCGCAAACGTCTCGTCTAACGAAGGTACAGAATATTCCGGAGACAATGCCATGAGCCCAGCAGATAAAATTTAACTGCTGACATCAGGTTCTAAAGTAACTAACACCCTTAATTACAGTATTAGGGGATCATAATTCAAAAACGGCACGGTGAAATTTTTCTTTCAAATTTTAATAAGTATGATATGACGTAGCTTTTAGCAAAGTTTAAAAAACATTCTGCACATGGGGTTCAGAGCCACCTTAAATTTTCAAAACTTTAACAACGTGTTCACCAATGACTGGGCAGTTTTTCGATACCATGATTGTAGCATCAAGTGATGAAGAGTGGTTATAATGACCCATCAAAGCCTAACTAATGGAAACTATTTTGAGGCACCTTAATCCATTAATTCAAATTGCGTGCGGTCTACAAATGTATGACTAAAACTCTCTTTTAAGATATTTTTATTTGAATGCTGCGAAAAACAGGTCTTAAGAATATCCTGGTTATTTGCATATGCCATGCGGTGAATTCTATAATTTGTTTCATAATCGGTTCCTTTTTAACTAAAATAAGCACGATCAAAATCTACTTTGTTGAATGACAATATATAAACGCAAGAAATGACTGCAGCAATTGCAATGCAATGCTTGTTCGGGGGAGGGGTAAGAGCAAATTGGTCTACATTCTACGGGCCCTTTAACATTGGAAATCCCGGCCCCTAGGACTTCATCAGGACTGATCAATAAGTGCCCTTGAAGTCAGTCTTATACTCTTTGGGAATGCAACGTGGTTCAGGGGGGGTCCCATATCGCTCAACCTTCTGTCCGCTAGGCTTCTCGTCTTTGGGAGTGATCAAAATGGCGTTAGTCGATCCAATGGAAGGGTCTTCGTCGAAGTAGTTGAAAGGTCGAATAAAGAAGTGGGCAGAGTTTGCAGCTGTGGCAGTGTTCGGCAAGTCTTCTGAGTGTGGGATGTGCATAGCTCCTATTGTCACCCAGGCTACAAGGTCCTCGTTCACTATGGAGTCGTTATCCATAAGATACTTACGGAAATCAACCTGCGTGGAGAAGAAAATCAAGGAAAAAATAACAGCGTAAGATATAGAAGGTGTTTTGATTGGTCGCTGGTGTTAACTGTAGTTTTCTATAGGGTAGATAATACTAGGGGTCTATAAAATGTCCTGGCGATAACCCAGTGTACACACATTCAAGTCTTTGTTAATACCTTTGAAGATAACGTTCTTTTACTCTCTTACTCTTACTTTAGGAAGTGCCATAAACTAAACAGAATCTCCATTGTATATTTTGTATCACTGACAATTAAACGGGCCCTTGCAAAATGATTGTACGCTTATTTCCGATTCCCTTGCCCACCTTTGTGTGGTGAAAATACCAACTACACGAGGAGCATGGGAGAAGGCTAAATGAATAAAGGTAAGAAGGAAGAGTTGAACAGTTCCAAGCCTTTGGATGTTATATTTTTAAGCCATTCAAAGCTAACCTGCGGATTAGTAGGTGAGTTTTGGTTATAGATGGAGCTACTCTGGGTCTCATTTTCTTTGTACTTAGTGACGGCCATTTGATACAGGGACCAGCTCATCATGGGCGTGATCATCCAGTCTTCAGGATACAGCTGTTTCAACATGGATTCCAGCTGTATGCGATACCCCTTCTTTACACCCATTCTGTTTTCTTTGGCGTCATTAAAGAAGTTCAAGTACTTTGGGTGGTCGAAGTTAAACTTATACGCAGCCTCCAGCTCAGTTTTCTTCACGCTTCGTTTTAGAACTTTCTGTACACGCCTTCTGTTGGGGAACCAGCGCTCAGTGATGTTCTCGATTCCAATTTCGATGGTCTCGTAGAAATTCTTTCGTCCGCCGATGTCTAAGTCAACTTTGTAGTTGATCAGATGATCGTGTGTACCGCTTGTGAAATGCTCATGCAGTGGATAAGCGTATGGATTTATATTCTGGTCGTAAAAAGAACCAAAGATATAGCCAGAGGCTGACATTTTGACTTCTATGACGCCGTTTTGGTAAAACATGAAGTCGAAAACATAATCATAGTTATACACTGTGGCAATTGTGCGCAGAATCAACACCTGATTGACCATTCCACCGTAGAACTTGTACCCATTCACAAAGTTGTTATCGTAATGTCGACGCAGAGGAATTCCATCATTCAGTTCAAACACGCATACGGCGTTGCGGAAGGTCCTCGGTCTTTCCATTCCAATCATATGCACCAGATCAAAACAGAAAGCTGTTTCTGGGAAATCTACCCCACGAACCATCTCATAGCTGCTCTGTCCCATTCTCCACGATCCGTCAAGAAAGTTATTCCAAGAAGGGTTTGGATAATAGCCTGCGTATGTGGCGGCTGCCTCCTGAAGACTGAGTTCGTATACGATTCTGTCTCCGTTGAATTGGATATCGTAAAGTTGCATTCCACTGTTGGAGTCCATTCTGAAGTCAAAAGACCACGACATGTAGCTAATATGGCGGCCTTTCACAGTATACCGCTGGCCATCAGGCTGGTATTGTTCAGGGCCTCTCATTGGTTTAGACGGCTGTGGAGCACCTCGTCGCTCGTAACTTGAAAAAAACGTCTCATTGCCTTTTGGCGCAGGCAACTTGATTTTTTCTATGGTATTGTTCTCGTATTTGGCCACTAACTCATCTACGGAGTCAAAAGTCTGATTATTGTAGAGCACTTTGAGTATTTTCCATTTTGAAGCCACTGCTCCACCGTGATCTACAAGGAACATTACATCTATCGGATAAAAGTAGCTACCAGTGAAATCGCCGCGAATGAAAAATATCCAAGTGTAGCGATCTTCCGCCGTAAATCCCATTGGAGCTGTATAGAGAAATTTCAGGCATTTCCTATTGTTTCTGCAGGTGTACGTGTACCCATCATAGCTTTCATACATCAGCTTGTACAGCTTCCGAACAGCCTTTAAGATAATCACGTTGTTTAGTCCGTTATATTAGCGACTGGACTCACTATGTATTCCCTCACTACCGGGGGGTCGGTAGCACCATGAAACACTACCGCGACAGCTCTTCGCTCAGGCTTGAGACCATCGTTGTCCAGGAATTCGAGGACCTCATCTTTGGACGGTGGTAAAAACTGTATCAAGTATATGTAATTGCTGTCCACAGTTGCCTTTAAATATTTCGTGAGGTTCAGCTCTGGTTGTTTCAGCAGATAGTCTCGAACGGCTGTGATTTCATCGACCGTTAGGTCATCAAAAACACCAGCAGACTTGGGTGGGTCATCGGAAGTGGTCATGCCTTCTGCACAGGACTCCACGCTGAGGGCAACATGGGAGCCATTTTCTTGATCTTCGTCGGTTTTCCCTTGCTTTGTTGCCACCACTATCAAAGCGATCAACAATGCAAAGCTTATAACAATGAACACGATGGCAAGAACCTTCCACAACATCAGCATGCTGCTAGTCTTTGGAGTGGATTTCCCTTTTATCATGGGATCAGTGCTTTCCATGATGAAATTCTGCACAAGGAGAATGGCAATCAACATGAGAAAATAATGGTAGACAAAATGAATTGTGAAAAACAAAATTATGAGAATGGATTACATCTATAAACTGCCGATAACGACTGTAAAATGTATAAAAAAAATCCTGGTGCTTAAGTTTGTAATTTAAACGTTCGTGAGGAAACCTGGACACACTACAGGCTAAGCACATTGCTTTTTACCTGCGAGATGCTAAACAAACTGAAATAGAAAACTTTAAGTTTATGGTGTCTATGGTCCCGTAAAATGAAGTTAAATCGGTATACAGTAACAAGGGAAAGGTGGTGAAGCAACGAGGGGGGAAGGAGAGTAAGAAAAGGACAGGGAGAAGGAGAAGGAGAAGGGTGGATAGGACGAGACCAAACACGAGGAGGAAAGGGAGCAGGAGGAGCAGAAGTTCAGGAAGAATTCTGAGAAGCAGGAGGATGAATAGGAAGGGAAAGAAATATGGAATAGAAGGAAGTGCAGTAGGYGAAGGAGGAGGAGGTAAAAAATACAATTGAGGAASAGGTGGGAGGCCAAGGAGGAAAGGGYGGAGGAAAAGGAGGGGGAGGTAGTGCTAAAGGTGYAGGAGGAAAAAGAAAGGGGGSAGGAAGAGGAGGAGCTGGAGGGGTAGGAGGAGGTGGTGGTGGTGGAGGAGGAGGTTTAAGAGGTGGAAGAGATTTAGGAGGTAGAGGAGGTTTAGGAGGTGGAGGAGGAGGACTAGGAAGTGGAGGAGGAAGGGGAGGAGGAGTTGGAGGTGGAGGAGGAACAGGAAGAGGTGGAAAAGGAGGAGGAGGTAGTAGTGGTGGTGGACGGGGAAGAGAAGGTGCTGGAGGAGTAGGAGGAGAAAATTGTGACGGAGGAGGTTTAGGGGGTGGAGAAAGAGGATTAGGAGGTGGAGAGGAAAAGGAAGAGCAGGAAGTGGAGGAAGAGGAGGACGAGGAGGACGAGAAGGACGAAGAGGAGGACGCGTTAAGTCGCTTCTTCTTGGTTTTGAAGTCCAGTCTTCTTGAAACACCTTGACAGGAACTCTTTCACGCACGTTATAAATATTAAAGACAGTGAAGAGAAAAATGGAATCTTTCTTTTTCACAAGGGGAAGATGATCTCTTTTCTAGTTCTCATTAAAATAAGATAATAGGAACGAATAAGGAATAAAAATGCCGCTTTACCGAGTAAGATACTAGCAGAGTCAGTACATTCAAGAGCAATTGTTACGCACATTACGCGAAGGAAAAATAGGCCAATTTACCAGAGGTATTTACGCAGACATATACACAGAGGCTTCCCTGGGTGAGGTAGGAAAGAGTGAGAATCTCTCTTTTGCTCGACCGCTTCAGACGCAACCGCCAAGTGCATTTAGGGAGCTTAAGCAAACCACGATGGCAACGGCAACGAAACGTCGCCAAACGAAAGGTTTAATGAGAAGACGAACAGTGGCTGTGCATGTGCGTTTTAAATCTTTGTACATTTCGCAGCCGTGCTCTACGAAACAACAACGCAAAATGACCAAGTTCTGCGTATTTTCGAGAACGTAGGCCACGACGGCAAATGCTTTGCAGTCTGTACAAAAAGTACATATTTAGTTTGAGCAGGTTATTGGACCGATTGGAGCACTG